TTTTGATCTATCTCGTAGGGTTCAGCCAGCGTTTGCAATGTAAGCGCAAAAAATGTGTTTATTTACGACATCACATTAGAAACCTCTAAAATTATCAGTGTTTCCCTACTATATTATGCATGTATTATACATATAAACCTTCCTCTTGAATCACTCTATCTTTTAAAAAAACCGCATCAAAATCCGTTGCGTAGTTTTAAAGATTTAAGCATACATAGGGACAGACAGTGGGAAAGCGACTTTGTTTTATACTATGAAGTGGTAAGACACTGTAACTTCAGTCTTGTATCGCTTATTTTTTGTCGGTTGAGCTTTTTTAAACTGGATGAAAATAAACTTGCTGAGAGCAATGAAAATTCCATTTGATTAAATAAATAAACAGGCGACCTAAATTGCAACTTACTTTTGGGAACGTTTGTTATTGTTTAATCTATTTGATGCGAAAAACACTTTTTACGGAATCTATTCAATAAACCATTAAATTAAAACTGTTTAAATGTATCGTATTTCGTGCATATTTTATACCCTATTCACTTTGAAAATGGCTGATAATTATTATTAAAAAGAAAGAAAGTCGATACCTATTTACGTTAATGTGGCCTCGTACCTTTTTGTAAGAATTCAATTACAGTTGAAGAAAATTGACATTGTAATTATGCTACGTACGTTTGATGGGTTCTATGGGGTAAACTTTTCGAGTGTAATACTTACAAAAAAACGCTTCAATGTCATTTTAGATGAACGAATTTCCACCCAAATGACACATTATATATAAATACTATTAACAATTTCTGTTTTTGTAAGCTGCTGTTATGTATGTATATTATAATGCCGGAATTGTGAATTTTTTAATTAAACATTTTCGGAACTCGCGAGTTGCTTCCATTACACTCACATAGCCGACCGTCACTGAAGACATTATTAATAGAATACTTTAGACAAGACACTTAGTTCACGTGGCTATTTTTACTTGCAAACGTTGTAATTATTAAACGGATTTTCGTCCAGGCGAGTGAACTTATAAAATGAAGTCAATCGTCGCATTGTCCAGGAATTCTTCTGCTGGAAGGGGATTTTCATAATTTATTCGATTTCCTTGCAAGTTGGGCGGGAAATGGGGAGCTCACGGGACCGTTTTACTTTGCGGTCAACTTTTTTTTTTCAGCAGAAAGCGCGACAAAGTAAAAAACGACACAAAAAAGTTTTGTTTAAATTTAGAGATTCGGTCCTTTTTTATCCGTGGTCTGATTTATTTAGAAAGTGGCTGATAATTCGAGTCTTTTAGGAATTGTGCCAAAAAATTTTATACAAAAGAAACAACGTAAATAAGTTAGTAGACGTTGTGAACAGTCGCTGCCCATTTTTTTTTATAGACCTACTGATATGAATAACATGTCAGTCTTTNAACAAATCTCCTGATGTCGGACTATTCGGTCGTTCCGACATTAAGAAGCAGCCGGAATCCAATATCAGTAAACAAACAGGCGAATCGCGGAAAATCTTTTGCTATGAGGATGACAGACGAAAGAGAAGTGGCGAATATTAGTGAAATTATTCTGGGAAAATGTCTCATCCTTCTGTTGTTGGTGCCTGATAAGTTTAAGGTCGTTCGTGTAGCTGGGAATTAGATAATTTTTGAAACCGATAATCGGTTTCGTTAACGCCACAGACGAAAAAAAAAAAAAAAAAGAATTCAGAAGAGATGAGAAACGTGTCGTGACTTGACAGCTAAGATTATTTCCGACGTTCGCTGTAATTGTTTTGTTAATTGAGTTCAAAGCATAAATCTTTTGAATGAAACCAATATTAAGTGAATTAATTTTTACTACGACAGATAATCTTAAATTAATAAGGAAAAATTGTTGCTGAAGTCATGCCTTCGCCAGGAATCGAACCCGGGTCCCTGGCTTTACGCACCATTGCTTTCACCTTTCCGGGTTCGATTCTCGGCAGAGCGTGACAGTAGCAACAATTTTTTCTTATTAATTTGAGGTTATCTGCAGTGGTAAAAATTAATTCACTTTAATAAATTGAAAATCCTACAAAAATTCTTCTAAGAAATCGGTATTATAAATTTTCTTATAATTTTTTTCACAATTGCTTTTGCATATTTCCTACCTACTGTTCATAAAAATTAGAGAACGCGGGATGTTTTAATTTTAGGAAAATGCAAAAATTAGCTCAGGATATAAAAGTGTGCAAGTGTGTGTTCAAATAGTCTTAGGATTGACTACCGTATGATGATAATGATGATGATAACTTACCGAGGAAAACTCCATTACTTTAAGAACCCATAACGTTAACGCTAAATTGATAATAACAATTATAAGTAGTCCTAAGATCAGTACGTATAGGCATCTTTTTCTCCAACCGTAAATTCCTATCCTAAAATTATTTGTACATTGTTCTTCCATCCCGCAACTTCCTGGGTTACCCGGCTGTTGTTGTATTTCACCTGAGGTCGTACAAGTTGCTGTGGAACTGTCAGCCTTTTTTAATCTGCAATTAAACACACATCATCAGGAATTTTCAATTAGAATGAATTAATTTTGTAGAGCTCGTAGATATCGAGAAATCGAATGATCTTTTAGCGTGTTATCAGTCGATTCTGGGCTCTAATTTGCGGCATATTTTACAGCTATGCATTTTTGGATTTTATAGATCTTGAGAAATTGGAAGATCTTCTGCTAGTGTTTTTACTATAAATTGATTACAAAATATGATATTATATATATTTTTCGAGATCTACAAACTTTACAAATTTATAACAAATTACTCGTACGTTTGAATATGGGGGTTGAATGTGTGAACTGCTAACGCAATACATTCATATGTAAATTTTAGGGTCTCGATATAGTAAGTGTTCACTGACATGAAATATCAAAATGGATTTACGTTAATAATTGGTGGAGGTGCCGGTCATAGCTTCCTTTTTTGTGTTATACTTCTCCTATTATTTAGTTTGATGTTTATGTTAATAATATACGTAAAAATTCGTAACTATTGCGTATTATTAAACAAATACAAATGTACGTAGTCTGAAATTTTGGAGTATTTGGATTAGGAAACCGTTATTGTAAAATATACAATAGTTTCGGAGGATATCTCTTGTATATCCCACATGAGGGATCCTTTCTAGGAAATAAAAACAACCTTCGGTTATTCAATAACAATACGTCGTTTCCAGTTAACAGTAGGGCTGTGCCTAATACAATTTCGAGTTTTATACAAACACTCGGACTAAGTACGGTTCGGACAGGACGTGTATGTACTAAAAAACAAAAGGGTCAAACGGTTTTCGAAAGCTCCTTATCGCGAATGAGGAGGACCGTTGTTGTTGACTAAGTATACATATAATTTAAACAAACTGGAAATAAACAGATACTAAATCTACAGGAATATATTGTTGTTGATTTTGAGCAGGTTTTTGTTAGATTACTCTTCGAAATTGAATTGATAAGATTGAATATATGATATGTGAATATTCATCATGAATAGAATGGAGTCACTATTAAGAAGTACATGCAACTTTTGATAATAAAACTGTAAAGGATTTCGATCTTTTTAGATCTCCAAGCAGCCTCGATATTTATGGACCAAACCGATGATGCTCCTAAATAGTGAGTTTATATAATGTTCAAGTACAGGCAGTACATCGCCATCTAGTAAGTAAATATATGCTTCTGCTGAAGTATTTTTATATGTTAGACAAGGTTTTACTAATGTATGAACTTGCCTAACTGAATCGACATACCCAAACCAAATACCAACCAACGATACAGTGAGCCATGTCGACTCTTTATTAAGGACTAACTAACACATGAAATACTTCAGCAGCAGTAAATACCTGCCAGATGGCGACACAAAGCCTGTACTTGGATAATGTATAAACTGGCTCTTTACAGGCTTCATTGGTTTGGTCGTGAAATCCACCAAGCGATATGACCTAGAGGTTTAGACCGTTGCTTAGCATTTGGGAGGACGCCGGTTCGATTCCGGGTCCGTCTGCCTTGGTCCAAGTTTTTCTGTGATTTCCTTGGATCTCTTAGGCAGTAATGGTCCACAGGTAATCTTTCAGTCTTTTCTGTCTTTATTGCGGTCCGTCTCAACTTTATCAACCGAACCACCACCCACCCATTCCCACGATTCCTGAAATCAGGCTGAAGGGGGCTTTCCGGCATAGTCCGGAGGGACTGCCCGCCCACCGTCATTACTGGCTGGTGGTAATGAAACACCCAAATGTTTTTAAAGTTTAAGTTTTGTCGTAAAATCTGGTGGTTAAGACCAGATGTTAATTTTTTATTTCTCAAAAATCTCCATTACGGGGAGCTTTTCCTACCACCTATCTTGCGTATTTCTCCCCTTCGAAGGGAAGCTGATCGTATCCCTTTTCCTGTACCCTCTATCATGTGCAGGATATTAATGCAACCCTCGAATTCTTTTACCATAGTTTCATTTGTATGTCAGAGATTAATCCCACTGTCTTTCTTAGTATGAAACACATTTAATTTTCGTTGCGAGAATGTGTATTAAAAATTGACGAAAACATTCATGTGAAGAGGTTCAATTCGTCACTATTCAAGTCAGGGATAAACGGCAGCGCTTGTGTTTCTCGACAACAATGGGGGGAATAAGCATAATCCCGTTGATTACATTCACACATAAAGGCGTGTAGGTTTGTTTGTAAGCGCTTTAGCAATGCTCAACACTATTATATGTGAGCGTTAGGAACTAATCTGGAAGTGCAACTGTTCAACGTCTTATATGGAGGATCTACTAATTTACTCTTGCAGACAATTGCAAGATGAATTAGGGAATTAAGGGAAGTATCGGGGCTTAATTGAACGCATAATAAATTAGATCAAAATTTACTGAAATAAAATCGGTCTTTGTCTTACTTTCGAAGTTGTGTCTTCGTATCCCTAGACAAAAATTTTCAGTGTCTCCCCAGTCTCTCAGAGTCTTTCAGCGTCTCTTAGAGCGTCTCTCACAGTCTCAGTTATTGCCCAGGTGTTTTTATGGATCTCTCACAGTCTCTGTATGAGAGACTCGAACGATAAAATTGTTAATTTAGAGATTCGAGTCTCTCACAGAGAGACTGAATGAATAAAACTGAAAAATTGAGAGACGGGAGGCTCTCGTAAAAAGACTGGGATCTCTGAAATATGTTAAAATTAAACAGGTTAAATTATTTGTCTCTTTAATAAATTACTATTACACCGATTTTAATATCACATGATTAACGCCTGATATTTTATTCGTTGACAGTTGTTTTGTATTTTCGATAATTTAATCCAAATTAATTTGACATCATAGAAACATGAAGCATATATTGTAACAGGATTGTTGCCCATCAGTAAATAGTTTGAAATTATGTAATTATTTAATTCAATTCAAAATTTCATTTAGTGGTCTTTATTGAATTTATGAATTCTGTTGATCTATTACTTAATACTAGTAAAATGGATAAACAATTAATGAACTTAAGTTCAGGTTTCAATTGAGTAGGTTTTGTTGTGTGTCGATGTTTTCGTCAGATTCATCAGAATAAACCTGAAGATCATGAAATATTTGTACAACCCACACATTTGAGATCTAAAAGATTAATATTACCCTTCACTAGCAAAAAATGGCAATAAATTAAGTGATTAAGAATTACAAAAGTTGCAATTTTCTCTGAGATTCTATTTAAAGATTGCGATTTTCTTAGTCACTGAAGCATAAAAGTCGCATCAAATGAACGGTTATTGAAAATCAGAAATATACTCAGTAGGTATTTTAATTTTCTTTTTAGGTTGATAAACAGTTTTGGAAATGTTGCAAATTGGTGCGGATATTGCTCATGAACCGGAGCTTCCGTTTCCGTTTAGGTCTAGTACATTGAATTAGCATGATTATATCCTCTAGAAATGTTTCATAAGTTGAAATAAGAAAGGAGCTGGTATTTTTTCGTCTTTTTGGCAAAGCGCCCGCTCAAACTCCAAGAAACATTAACAGTTTAAGAGCAACCAATTTAGTTGCCACTTGGTCTCTACGAAATAATTCACTGGCATTAAACAGACCGTACGCTATGCTTTACGATACGGTTGATTTATGGCGCGGGAGAGCTACTAGAAATTGTAAATGATGTATTTACTATTTTTTGTTTGTACGATACGGAAAATGTTGACATTATTTTTGTTTAGTTACGTATTTCGACCAAGTATCAGTAGAGTTCGACTTATATCTTAGTAGCATCCATGTAAGCCGATCTAGACTAAATTTTACAATATTTAAGTAATTTCTATTTGACACAACAGTTTAATTTAGGTGATTGTTTTTTATTTTGTATTTGACAGCAGTTAATACCCTTTTTCAAAATGAAAGTTGAAATTTTAAGGTCAAATTAAACAATGTTTATAATTTCGAAACCTTTTTATTCATTTATTTATTGGAAGTCAATAATAAATAGGCGAGATAGGTTGGTAGGACACCTTCTCAGTCATGAAGGTCTAGTCAGAGACATATTAGAGGCAGAAACGGAAATTAGGAGGGCTAGAGGTAGGCCTAGATTAGATTACTGACTACACAAAAAGTTAAGGATGTGGGATGTTCTACTTTTAGGGAAATGCGACGATTAGTTTAGGTTAGGAAATAGTGTAGGTGTGTGTTCAATCAGTCTTAGGGTTGACGACCTCATGATGATGAGCTTTTTATTAATTGAAGAAGAATGTGGAAATTTGTATTATTTGTAAGTAGGATGAACTACGTAACATCTACTTTGAAATATTTTGATTACCTACACAATCCTTTTTTCTTTTAGTATTCCTGTGAATTAAGGTATCCTCTGTTGATAATTTGAAAAGCGAAAAAAAGATGATCTTCCAAGTACAAAGTAAAGATTTCTTTTATCAATTTTTTTAAACTAACGGAGGTCAAAGGAAATTGTATAAAAAATGAGCCAACTGGTAATTACAAAACCATCCAACAACTTTAGCTACAGCGGATGTTTGTTACCAAAATAAATACAGGAATAAATCGACATTTCGACCGAACTTCATATTTACTTTTTTGCGGTTCTGGTTCTACAATTTTTCACTTCTATTGATTGGAAAAGTTTGATGTTTACTTATTAACGTTAAAAGTTCGGGTTGCCGGTGTTTCAGAATAGTCCATACAAAGGTTATAGATAAAGGCATGCTTTTGTGTAAATAAGTAATTTACCTTGTTGTTGTCCCTGTAGTGTTATTTGGCAGCCTATGATTACTTGTAGTCATCTGAAACAAACACAAAAGTTTAGCTGTGTTTCTCGTTATTTAAATGTGTTTAAATATATAATTGTTATTATACGAGGGTGGATTGATAAGTTTCCGGCCTAACCAAGAGATGACGCCACTAGGCCTACCTTGAGGTGACATTCTATAGTACCATCCTTGGATAGCTTGTAGCTATAGTTTCAGCCCGATCTCCTTGCTAG